CCCAGAGTCACCCGTGGGGGAGATGGGCGGCATACAAGCCGAATAAATAAATAAATAAATATGTTGTGGGGAGGGTGTTGGCTTAAGAACCAGATACCCCACCTCCCTCAAATGAAATTTCCAGGAACAAAACCAGTCAGAATTTATAGACATTTTCTCGTAAATGGACTCATAAATGATTGGTGTTGAAGTGAAGCTGCAAAGTGTGTTTGCCTTTTTGAGCAGGCCTTTTATATAATGCATACAAGGACGATAGCACATGTACATACATGACGGCATTATACGACAGACTAATATTATTCTGTTAAGTCAGTGCTTCCCAAACTTTTTCCTTCATTACCCAAAATTGAAGGGGGGAAGGGGGGTGTTGGTGGGTGTGTGCAAGTGAGGGTGTGGTGTGTGCATGCATGCAAGCAAAGGGGGGAAGGAGGGCATGGTGTGTGTGAGTGCAAGGCTGGGGTGGATGGGGGAGACTTACCTGAGTGACTTACAATCTCCCCTGCCAGCTTCCCCATTGACTTTGCTTGTGGGAAGCCTCCAGGGAAGGTTTCAAATGGTGATCATATGACCACAGGACGCTGCAACTGGTTGTAAGTGCAAGCTGGTTGCCAAGTGCCTGACTTTTGTTCAGTGACTGCAGGGGCGCTGCAACGGCCAGAACTTTGAGGATTGGTCATAAATCCCTTCCTTCAGCACTGTCGTAACTTTGAACGGTCGCTGAACAAATGGTCGTAACTTGAGGACCCCCTGTATTATAAAAGCAATGTCATTGAATGATCTTTATGTCATTTCAACAAATTACCATTGATAATTTCATTGATTTTTGTCTTAATAGGAATACTTTGGAAAATTTTCAAATATATTTTAGTACACGTGGCAATCTTTAAGTCGATTTAAATATCGCTGTTGTGAATGGGTCTGCATGTTGTTATCCAAAGAAAAACCACTTTTACCCAATTTTGGGTAATTTTCACAAGTTTGGGAAGCACTGTGTTAAGTAATAATTGGAACACAACTAGTTACAAATGAATATGATCAGGACGCTTCCTGAGATAACTTGATGATCAACAACTTTTTCCTGTTATAATATTTAATTAATAGATTTAGTGTTTGGCAAGAGCAATGGAAGAGTAGGATTACCAGATATCAGGCAAAGGAGGACACATCCCCCTTTTTGTCCTCTGTCTGGCAGACATAGCCTTAAAATCAAATATTGTTCAGCTTTTTGAGTGTCTTTTTTTTTAAATTGGACTCTTTCATAATAGCAGTCACTGAAACTTTCATGTATTGTGACTTGTAAATTGTCTGCTTTTTTCTTTCCCTTGCCCATTGGCGGACTCAACAGCCTAAATTTACATTATTTAATTTATTTCCTGATTCAAGCAATTGGCTTCAATCCAGCCCCTTAAAATCTATGATCACTGTAGTCTGTAGATCACATGAGTAGTCCTATGTTTCTATGGTGAAATTTGAAAAGCATGTTGATGTCGATTCTATATTATTGCTAGCATTTATTCTTGAAAATAAAGATTTGTTGGAAAAATATTGGGATTGACCAGTCAAACCAGTCTTTCTGATGTTGGAAAAAGTAATTTCATTTACATGTAGGCCTAAGTACATTTATTTTGCAATTTTTCTCTGCGATTTTTGTCACGGATGCCACAAAAGTTAAACAGTGTATCCTCCTTTTTTCCCATTTGGCCTCCTTTCCAACTGTCCGTGTCCTCCTTTGCCTGTTCAGTTATTGGTAACTGTCTGAAAGAGAGATCTGTCCCAAGGTCCTTACTATATATCATTTGATAGTTGAAGAAGAAGAGGGAGAAACTTGGATTTTATGTTCCTCCTAAACTACGGGGCAATATGGAAACATGCAAAATGAGCATGGTAAACACTGAGTGTGCAACCTCTTTTGAATTGGGCTCGATTCCTGACAACTTTATAGACACATCCATGAGGGTTTTTTCATGGAAAACAGAAGCAATTCATTATGGCTTTCTTCTGGTATTTATTTGTCTAGTCTATAACCTTGGAATTTCCTTGTTGTCTCTCATCCAAGTACAAACCCGGTCTAACCCTGCTTAGCTTCTGGGCCCAGAAGATCAGTCAGGCACTGTCATCCAAGTATATAATTTTTGCCCCCCTTTGATACAATATTTGAATCCAGGGGCATGCAATGAAGTTAATTCATGAAAGATTCAGAAAAGACGAATAGGGAGTGCTTGTTCATACAATGCATAAACTGATGGAACTGACTAGTACAATATGTATCCAAAATCTGGGTGGTACATGTAAAGAAGGATGCTGGTGTATGAGATATAAATGGAGGAGGTGAGAACCAGGTTTATAAAAGGTTTGAAAACCAAATCCTGTAAGTTAGTAGCTGAACACAAGCTAATTGCATGTGTTCAATTAGAGAACAGAATAGTAAGTGGACATATAATATAGCAATCTTTGAAGATCTGAAGACCTAACAGGCAGGATGGAAGAAATGTGTGTCCTGTTCCTCTGGAGAACAGGATTAGAACCACTGAGTGGAAATTGCAATGAATCTGAGTTCAGCTAAACATTAAAAGAAGTTCCCTAACAATATGAGCTGTTAATTCAATAGCCTCAGAAGGGTGAGGTCTATTTTCTTGGTGGTATTTGAAGCAGCTGGGCAGGCATTTCTCATATTAGATCCAGCAGCTAACATGTGAGGAGCCCTACAACCTGTTCAGAGTGGTAGTCATTTAGCTCAGAAGGTTTGAAAAAGAGTTTAGGCATATGCACTGAAGATCAAGCTACTTATTGTGACGATGAGTGGAGCCTCCATTTTATAGCCATGTTTTTCCCCCATGTGGGCCAAAACCCTAGTGAACGTTCTACTGTGGTGCTATTCAGTGTGAAAAAGCAACTCGTTTTTATGAGCACCCTCTGCTTACTTTTATTCTATTCTCCAGAACATTTATTCTGTTCTCCAGAAGAGACTATTTATTCTGTTCTTGTGGTTGGATGGTTGGATGAAGGCTGGGCTCGGGGAGATAAGTATTTCCTTAGCCCCCAGCAGGAGCGTGGGAAGGTTAAGAAGATGAGACTGGCACCACCCTAAGGAATTCACGGTGTTTTGGCCTGCTGTCTTGGGAAGTTTAGATTCAGTCTGGGGAGATTCTGTCTTTGAGGTGGAAGCTGATAAATGCAACAGAATTGTATCTGTACTGTCTCGTGGAGTTCTTTGGGCTGAACCTGACAGCTCTCTAGCTCCCAGTGCAACAGACAAGTATATATAATGTCATCAATCATAGGATTAAAGTATGGCTATTGTTAGAAATGATTCTCAACCAGGCTAGTCAGTATCCAGGAGTTTTAGTGATTGATGGATCTTTTTATTGATCTCGTCTCGACCCTTCTTCTTTTCCAGGAAAGATTTGGTTAATCTTGATCCTGATGAGACTGACCGTGATATTGCTTGGGCCGTATCCTCTCTATGAAGATGAATTGGGAGCTTTTGAGTGTAATACTCAACAGCGAGGATGCACAAGCATGTGCTATGATGCTTTTGCTGGAGTATCTCAAGTTCGGTTCTGGTTGCTTGAGTTGATATTGATGCTCCTCCCTTTTGCTGTGTTTGCTATCTACATCTTGCACAGTGTGGTCAAGCAAGTTGTGGAGGTCTATTCTTTGCCTTGTTCTTATTGCAAACAGGCCAAAGTATCTGCTGGCTTCACAGTTACAGAAATAGCTTCCGATGACACAACAAGGACCAGAATCACTTGTGGGGCCCATGAATTGGCAATTCCTGATTTTTCACAGACATACACAGTTCAGCTCCTCCTGAGAATGATAATAGAAAGTGGTTTTCGAATTGGCAATTTGAAATATAATTCCTTTGGCTTCTTTGTTGAGAAGTTATATAAGTGTAATGTGGACCCTTGTCCGAATCAGGTAGAGTGCTTTGTCCCCAGATCGACTGAAAAATCTGCCATGATTATCGTATTATGGATTGTCAGTGGTTTCTCCTTACTTCTTGGCTTTGTTGACCTGTTTTTGGTTGCTAGAAGTCATAGAAATAAGCTGGGGGAAATTAGCATGGAGGAAAAATGCAGAATCAGCATGCACCAACAAGGGGAACCAAGCAGAGTTTTGTCCAACCTTGGGAATGCTGATGTCTCTGAGGATTGTGGCAATGTTCCCATGGAAAGCTATCAAAAGGAATGCCACCCTGCAAAAGATAACACCCTGTAAAAGCAGCCCTAAATCTGTATTTAGCTGGGATAGAACCATAAATGTATTATACTTCCACTTATGAAACCACATAGATTATTTTTTGTACTAGTTAACACTTGCATATAATATTTGGAAAGGCTCATTCTACAGGGGAAAAAAAGGAGGGGGAGCTGGAGGACCATAGATCTTTCTTCTCTTAGATTAGTGTTTCTCAACCTTGGCAACTTGAAGATGTGTGGACTTCATTCTGGAAAACAG